CGCTCTTTTCCAAAGGGTGAACTGAAGCCAAACCACCCCTTTACTTCACTTGGCATGACTCATCCTGCCTCCTGCGGCATGGCACTCCTCAGGAAAGGTTGCCACCCATGCCGAGCAGTGCCCAGAAGTCCTTGGTGGGACATTGGTTGATCCAACCCAGCCAATGGGGCCACGTCATTCTCGCTCACTAGGTCTTGCCTAGCTGCGTGGGGCAGAGAAGCCCTGGGGGACGCGGTATGACCTTTCCTTCTAGCCAGATATGGATCCACAGCTCTGTATCTATCTCATGGGAGTATATTCCAGCTTGTTTTCGGTCATTTGTTTGGCCAGAATCTCACGGGAGCTTCAGTCAAACATTTTGCTGAAGTCGAGGTTCCTGATGGTCACCCCGTTCCTGCCAAGAGGAGTTCCTGATTGCAGCAGGATAGAAATGCCATCAATCAATCAATCAATCAATCCCTGTGCTCAACTAAAGTGGGCACTATCTAAAAATGAGATCAGGTGGGTTTGGCATGACTTGTTTTCAATCAACCCCAGTTAGCTCCTTTCCAAATACTCGCAAGCCAACTGCTTCCAGGTCGGTTCCAGAGTTTGGCCTGGCATTGATAACGAGCTGACCAGCGGGTAGTTTCTGCCTTTTGGCAGAAAGGAAGGTCGCCGTCCTCCAGTCCTCCGACACTATGCCCACCCTCCGTGATTTCTCACCGAAAAGGGCTCCAGGATGGCATCTGAAGGCCCTATCAAATTCAGGGATGAAACCTCGTTTGTCGTAGGGCTCTCAAACCGTTGCCCTCCACACTCCCCCTTTGCGGCCACTGTTCTGCTGAAGACGGCTCCCTCTTGGGGAGAAGAAAGAGCCAAGCAAAGCAGGAGGTGAGGAACCCTGCCCTCGCCCCGCTGCCATCTTCTCCAAGCGGTGCAGCCTCTCCTTCCTTTGCCTTCTGTCACTGGCAAATAGGCGGAAGAGCCTTTGGGGCGTTTTTAGCTCTTTGGGCAGATGGCCGGTCGGACGCCTCCTTGGTGATTGCACCCATCTTCCATTTCCTGCCTGTCCATCCTTTTAAGGGGCGTCTCATTCGAAAGCTCCCTTGCCCCGCTTACAATTGCAGTCGGGGTCCGCTTCCTTCGGGGGAAGTCAGAAAGGATCAGAACGTGCCTTTTATCCGCTCATGGGAGGACTAATTAAGTCACCAGTTTGCACAACCCTTTGATGCCTCTCAGGCTTCATTTATCATCCCACCATCCACCTGATCTTTTCAATTAGGGAGGGAGAGCGAGGCCTAAATTGCTTTTTTTTTTTAATCAGCCACTGCCAGGCGCAAGGATTTGGCCCCTCGGCGGTTCTCAGCTGACCTGGCTCATCTTTGCTCTGCACAGCACCGCCCTTTCCTGAATCCGTCCCTCCATATAATGGAAACCGTAATTGCCTGCAATTCAAATCTCTTCGTTCTCGTCATAAGATCTCTAGGGGATATGCAGAAATGTGTGCGCGTGTATGTGCATGTATATAAATCTATACATCCCATCGATATAAACAACCAAGGGAAATTCAGAAAATGGCCAAGTATGATCAAAATATTACAGATTCAGAATCCCAGTGGTCAACAGTTGGCATTAAGTTCTATATTGCACATTCCTCTGCATCAGTGTTTCTCAATCTCAGCAACTTTAAGATGGATGGACTTCAACTCCCAGAATTCCCCAGCCA